GTACGAATCTTCATTTAAGGATAGATTCAAACGTAACTGATCTAAAATGAAGCTTGAACAGTTTTGAGTAGGGTAGAGATAAATGAGTCCACTAGGTGGACGGATGATCTGGTGAAGGTCGCGGGAAGAGCCTGGATGCGGGTCAGGTATTTGCCGCAATCACAACCGATGTTAAGTGAGATGCAGTCTAGGATAGTGAGTGTTAATAAACTAAATAATAATAAAACAATCAAAATGGGACAATATTCGATCCGATCTCTTGACAAAAGATCAAGAGTGACTGGAGGCCGCTGACCTATCTCAACTAGTGAGAGTTGTGGCGAGTGGCGACCAGTTACCAAACTACCGGGTTTTAGATAGATTGCTTTTATCTGACAGTTAAGTCTAATAGTTCCGCATTAGTTCGGAAGTAATATAGTCCTAAATATATTTCATACTAGCTGTTCCCCGCGGTGTTACCCGCGGTAAAAAGTAGCATTATGTGTTAATCCAGGATGTCAGCTAACTCCATACTACATTTTATTAAAATCACTCCAGCCGTTTAGACGTGAAGAAGTAACAAACATACACACTCACAAACTTTCGCCTTAATAACGCAACATTTTTCATTGATGCTCTGCTCCTATTGGTCTTAGCGTGATGGTGATAAATGGGCTATCCAACATAAAAATATTTTTTCCTGAGATTAGCAGGTTTATGTTTTAAAAAACTGAACAATGAGGGCCATCGTTTTTATACTTAACAGTTGGCACCCCTGGCGATTGAAAGGACCTTAGGTACTCAAATTATGACTGCAAATGCGATAGTCCTCCTGCCACTTTAGCGCTCACAAGTTGGTGCCACTGTCTTCGCTACTAGCAAGTGACAGGACCTTACTCTACAGTGGCGCTAACTGGTGAGCGCTAAAACGATAGCCCTCATTAAACTCTTCAGCTTTTTCATATTAATACAGATTACAAAAACATGTTTGTTTGGAACATGAGATTATTTACTCGTGACAAAAAATAGAGTATGAGTGACATTATGACAGTATTAAGAGAGCCAGTGTGACCCAGTTTCATGTTGCTTAATTTGACGATGTGTGCATAAGATTGGATCGTCGTAAAATGTTTGAAAAACATGTTTACAACGTTTACTAAGCACACCATCACGATACCTTCATATCTAAAGCGATACGAGGAAAGCGAAAGTTTTGGAATTATTTTTATAGGTACTTTTAAGGAAGGAAATTCTTAATTTTATTTATAAGGAAATTTCATGCGAAATACATAATTGGTTGATGGTTGTTTTGTTAATTTTTGTTTCACTGCATTATTTACTGGTTAAAATTAATTAAAATTTCGTTTAGTTTAGTTCGTACAACGTACAACCCTCTATAATTTACTCGAGGATTAGGCTACACTCCATGTGGTTCCGCCAAAGTATAGGACCACTCTCTAAGTGTGATCGACAACTGAGAGCTTTTTGTATAAATAACAGGCAGATGCCAATCGACACTCGCTAGTGATTTTATTTTGTCTCGATTCGCTAGTTGAAACCCTTTTCCACGAGTTAAAGTAGCATTTCTACCATAGTTCTTACTCCCACAACATTGAAAGAACGAGGATGTCTTTAATGTCCATCGTTTGTTGTATTAGCGAATAGCTATGACTAATTCTCTAAAATTTAAACATCGTTAATAATACACAGCACGCGCCTTGCTATTTTATTGTCCAAACCGACTCCAGTTAGCAACACCTGACACTTGGCCAAACAATGGGCAACCAAATGTTTTGGATAACCAACCGTAACAGTTCAGTTCCATTTGATATTGTGTAACACAAGTCCGTAACAGTTCGATCAACTTTTGACAAGTCGTTTGTTATTTGTAAACTCGTTTGTGGCAAACACACTAGTACACATGCACTCTGATTTCTTATAAGATTTTTATATATTACTAGCTTTTGCATTTAGTTTCGTCATAAATTAATAGCCGTATATGTTATTCTGGGTTATAAACAATAATACTGTAAAGTTTCATCAAAATCCGTTCAGTAGTTTCTGCGTGAAAGAGTAACAAACATCCACACATCTAAACATCCAAACTTTCGCATTAGTACGATTAGTACGATACCTACGTTTATTTTGGTCTAAGATACCTCTATCAGCTATTTGCTCGACTTTAGCTATAAGAACGAGGAATCGGCCGATACCAAATCTGTGTTGTGAGTACTTAGGTATTGACAATACTTGTTCCCACTGATTAACAGCCTGACCAAACTATAGGCCGACATAAAGTCTGCAGTGAGCGAGGACTCGTAACAAGGGAGTGTTGGTTCGATTCCCGGGTCAATTTGTGAATAAGATGCCAGAGTTTACCTTGATGTGCTATCGTTAACGATGTTAGTTAATTAACGTTGGTTGTCGTTCGAATTCGTATATGCGATGCACCTTGCATTTTCCTAACATATTAAAATATGCACACACGTGAATACCGCAGACACGTGCCAATCTATTACAAACAATTGAAAGCCATATAAATAACTACAAACTAATCTACGATAATAATGATGGTCAACTTACGCTAACTATTAAATAACTACTTACTTTGAATGCTATTTAAATCAACGTTTATTATGTGAATGACGGAAGAACCACCTGTTTGTAGAATCCTTGCAAGTGCAGTTGCACGAGGCGGCACATATGCCAGGTGGCATAGGGCTGCCAATAAGCCTAGAAATTCACGGATTTTATTATAACTTTAGGTGGTATTCGCAAATTTGCAAAAACCGACTTTAAATACGAAATATTGAGTTTCTATAACATGGAGTAGGTACTCCATTGGTTCTCCCTGACTAGTGAGTATGCAATTTAATGCATTTTCTGACAAAAAAATATGTAGTGCCTTTTGTACGTAGAATTTTTCGCTGGTAATAACGCCCGCCCTAATAGCCATTTGGTAGAAGGTTAGATGGCATAATTCGATAGACAAGAGTAGGTAACTTGTCATCATATCAATGTCTGCATAAGCTGCAAGCAAGCTCTTGGTTGGACCCACAACTAATCTTAGTATATTATAGTTTTTGAGCTTCATAACAATTAGGTAGATGATAAAATTTTTATTAATTTAAGGTATACCTTACCTTGTTTGTAGTATATTTTCATTGTAAAACAGTTGAAGATTAGCCTTTTCTTCATAAGCACATTGAATAAAGTTTCATAAGCAAGTGTACAGTCACATTAATGACTGGTCTTCTTCAAGACGATATCTTGCCAACCCTAGCCCACACGGTCAGTTCCAGATTGTTTGCATAACTGCAGCCATGCATGTTTGAACAATGCTGTATTATCAGTTGCAGTTGTACTTAAACCTGTTCTGATTTGCATTATAATGCGGTCATTTTGCTGACAACTAAGATTAACAGCGGACTTCCGTTTACTGTGACAGTGAGTGAGAAGTTATTATTGTGTACTTCAGCGACTTTACAGGAAGTTAGATTATTGCACCAGTATGTACGGCACAGTGGAACAAATATTATGTATTTACTGTCAATACAACATTGAAAAAATATTCCATTGCAAAAAGTTTTGTTAAAAGTATCTGGTTGAAACTTAAGTTTCAAATAATTGATTCTCATCATTAGTCTTAGCACTTAGATTTTGTAAGCAAATGTTAAAATGATTTCAAATTATCTTGTTGGTTGTCCAATTAAATAAATAAACTCTGATCACTGCATCAGCAATTGTGCTGAATTCTTGATTTGTACTTTATCATTAACCAATCAAATAATCAATAAACCAGTGCTTTATTGCAATCAGCCAACATTCATTTAATAAAATTATTTCTTATGCCATAAATCTATCATCTGTGAAAAGATTTTTTAAAATGAAAATAAAATGGTTTATTCGGCGACACAAAACAACATCAAGAATAACAAAACTAAAAAAAATAATGAATTTACTTGCAGCCACTCTTCATCACTTTGCAGTGTCATTTCTTAAGATTGTTTAATGGAATATAGCTAAATATCTGATTCTAATACTGACACATGCACAGTGTTGGTTGATCCAAATGATTTTTATCTCAAAATTTTTAACAAATTGTTTGCAAGCCAAAGTAGACAGCAGACAGGTAGTGATTATGATGCTATCAACTTTATAAAGATTAGAAAACTTTACTGACTATGGTATGTAAAAAAAAACTATTAATCCCTATTTTTTAAGTCACAAAGTTATACCAAATCGTAGATTAGTCAGTGTTGAAGAGGTAAAAAATAACCTCAAAAGAACATTAAATTTTAGCGTTTTTTAAACACTTTCAATACTTGTTTCAGCTTTTATAACCACTAATTGGTTTAAACATATTTATCAAATGATCAGATAGCCCTGATAACGAAAAGGAACCATAAAATTAGTTATAATTTAACTTACCTTCGGACTCCGACTTCGGTTGCTGTTCAGTCATTGCGCACAGCACTTATTCACTGTCCGTATTAATGTTTATGTTCTTTCTTTATGTAATTACAGTAAAATATAACTAGTACCATTAAATAATTAAGATAAATGTTGATTTTTCAATCGTAAATTAATTTGAGTACAGATTGTTTTGTTTTGACAATTTTGACATATGTCATATCAAAGTGATAGTGATGTATGTGGTATAATGGTGGCTGCATTGGAAGCGTTTAGTTTTTCCTTAATTACCGATAAGAAGTGTGAACTCAATAGAGCTCACTGACTTGACTTGATGTTTTATCGATATATCTTATTCAGTTATTTTAAACTAAAAGAAAGAGAGAATAAATGGAACCGGAATTGTCATCACTTTTGTTTTCATAAATGTCAAAATCAGACAAATGTCAATAAATTGTTTTGAATTTACTCGCGGTGTTTTGCTTTGAATTGTCTTTTTAATAATTTGGTAATTAATTCGCCTGAAAACGTAAAAAATACACGACGAGATGATAGAACCTAAATTGTTCATCATTGAGAAATTAAATATTATTTTTTGTTTGTTCCAGACGAAGAAGAGAATGTGAAGAATCAAGAATACTCAACTTCATTTAGTTTTTGGTGAAAAATACATCAAATAATCTTCAAAAATGTCTAATGCGGTGGAAAACGGCGTTCCCGTGAACGATGAGATTCGGTAATTATTGAATTTGGTTTATATTAGGTAATATACGATATTTTATACTACCCTACAAAAAGCAATACTACTCAGCTATAATGAATAAATCAAAAGGATTTTTCATACACAACAATTAATTACACGACTNCCCCTTTACCCAAAAATTACCTATTGGCACATATCACATACACAGGATGTTATAAAAATAAACTTATCTACTTCTATAATGTTTTTTCCAGAGTTTTAGGAGATATTTGATAAAAGAGTAAATACACATAAAAAATACCTGTGTAGCCCGGTACTAACCGTTTGTAAGTGCCTCAGCTGATGCTATGTTTGTTCACGTATGTCCAGCATGGCACTGCATGATTATAAAATTGATTTACTTAAAAATAACATGCTTATTATTACTATAGTATTTTTTTCTGTAGTGTACAGTTCAGTGTTTCAATAGCATGTTTTAGACTTCTTCAACAATTTAAAATTAATATAATTTATGATGTAAATATGACATTACATTCATGAGTTGTCTCACTATGTCTATAATTAATTTATTTGTAGTATTGCACATTCTGTTTTCGGTTCTTCATTCTTCAGTTTTATCCATTGCAACTTTATTTTCAATACAAACACATAATTCACACAAACGTAACTTATTCTTCAACCATTTTTATCATTACCTACCTTTACTTTTGAACTTTTTTATCTTATTGAATTTTTTATTTATCACCTTTTGCATTATATTGTGATACATAAAATTGCCAGAGAATTAATAAAAGAAAAAATGAAACTTGACTTAATTCAGTCATCTCTGAAGCTGACTTAATTTTTTATAAATAACAAATAATGATTACAATCATCATCATCATCATCATGTCAGCCATAGGACGTCCACTGCTGAACATAGGCCTCCCCTAATGCTTTCCACATTGATCGATTGGTAGCGGCCTGCATCCAGCGCTTCCCTGCTACCTTTACGATGTCGTCGGTCCACCTTGTAGGTGGACGTCCCACGCTGCGCCTTCCGGTACGCGTCCTCCATTCCAGAACCTTGCTGCCCCATCGGCCGTCAGTTCTGCGTCAATGATTACAATAGTGTTCTTATTATTAAAAATCAGTTTAAATGGAAATCTCATCACAATACAATGCAATGGTACTTACATGGAATGTGAATGTTTTCATTTAATAATTTTGCTTTTTTTATTTACAGTGCACTAACATCGCACCGGGTACAAACAGGTCGTTATAATATGTGTGTTTGTTCTTTTTTCCAGCGGAACCACCTATTTTTTTTCCAGAAGTAGGTCGAGCGCTTCGCTATGGCAACGGATAAGTCTATTCTTGTCCATCTACTGGAAGTCGCTGATAGTGGTGCTGACACCACTGATACTGTTGCCCATTCCGATCATGAACCATGCCCCAGTAAGTCTTTAAAGATGATTTTTATTTAATTTTACTCTTTTATTAGTTGTAAATAAAAAAGTAAGTTCCAATCACTCTTTTAAGATTGTAATTAGTAGATTAATATCATCTTATATTTTTTCATTTTTTTGGCAGTTTATAAAGCATAGAATATACTACACATGCATTCATTAAAAAAAGATGTAGTAAAAATAAATGCTTACAGGCTTTTTTAGCATACGCCACCGTGAATAAATGTAAAAAAATAAAAAAGAACAAAAAAGCAAGTTTTTTTCTCATAAGAACAAGCAGTTAAAATCCGTTTTGTTTTTTAAAGAAAAAATACTGTACTTTTAATTTAACCTTGCAGAACTGCAGACTAGCAATAAAACTTACAGAAGTTGATTTCATCAAGCTGTCACCACTGTGTAAATCTGGCAGAAGTTGCCACAGCTATTTATACAGTGGTAAACAGCTTGCGAGTTTTATTGCTAAAGCCCGGTCTGTGAGCACGTAGAATTTTGTCCATTGACCCCAAGCTACCCATCCTTATCGCTCGTGCGTAAATATTGCTGTCGCGACTGTGCGACGGGCGGCCGCAGTGGGTGTGCGAGCGCAACAGCAACATAATTATGCGCGAGCGAGAAGGATGGGTAGCTTGGGGTCATTGGACGAAATTCTACGTGCTCACAGACCGCGCTTTATTTATATGTACAGTGGTAAACAGCTTGCGAGTTTTATTGCTAGTCTAATAAACCTCTCTTGAAATTCGTTCTCGTATTTCTTCCAGGCTTACAGATGCATGTACGTGGTGCTCATCATGGCGATATTCTGGGTGTTGGAGCTGCTGCCTCTGCCGGTCACCTCCATGCTGCCGATCGTCCTGTTCCCCACCATGGGAATACTGAACTCGGACCAGACCTGTGCTGCTTATATGAAGGTAATTTCAGCCACAGGAGCAGGACATACAGGGTGTTAGGTAAATCAAACTGCTAGGGGAGGTAACTCTACTAATGTACTACCCCTAAAAATATGAAAAAAAAGCGTATAAAGAAACAAAAAAAAAACATTTTTTTTTAAAGTGAAAATAAATCAGCTTTGCCTAAGTATCTGGCTATAATTGCTGTGTTAGGAGTTTATTTGTACTTTTTTCTAACTAACATTAATTTTACATGATCGCTTTGTTTATCTGTAAACAAACTTTTGAAAATAATGACTAGATTTAGAGTTTAGAGCACTTTATTAAAAAAAAATCCGAACCTAATTTTTTTTTTCATATTTTTAGGCATAGTACATTAGTAGAGCTACCTCCCCTAGCAGTTTGATTCACCCATTCTGGGACACCCTGTATAGGCTTCCCCCAATGATTTCCATATGATGATGGAATGTTGTTACTCTTTCACGCAAGAAATAAGTTTAGAAGCCACGATCGCCGAACGGTGAAGGGGTCGACTCGTGATCCGGGGAACGCGGATTCGGTCCCCGCCGCCGTTCGACTATTGTGGTGAGCTCACTCGTGATACAAGCATATTTAGCTTAGTACGAGGGGCTAACGCGGGAGTATTATTAATTTGTGAAATAACAAATTCAAATTACTAATTATCATTAAAAAAAAGCTAATGAACGAATTTTGAATGAAAACTGCAGTATCAAATATAACATATTGCAATTTCCACACAAATTGTAATTATCGAAAAGGAATTTGACATCCAATATTGTTTAGTACCCATAGTACAAGTTTTTCTTAGTTTGGGACTAGAGGCGTATTGGAAATACCCAAGGATATTTATTGAATGTCTTTTTGAGACTTTAATGTTGATTCCCTTATTTAAAACTAGATTTCATTAGAGAATCAACCTTTTTGTTTGAACACATACCAAAGAAACACCTTGTATAAAACCCGGTCTGTGAGCACGTAGAATTTTGTCCAATGACCCCAAGCTACCCATCCTTATCGCTCGCGCGTAATTATATTGCTGTCGCGACTGTGCGACGCGCGCCCGCAGTGAGTGTGCGAGCGCGACAGCAACATAATTACGCGCGAGCGATAAGGATGGGTAGCTTGGGGTCATTGGACGAAATTCTACGTGCTCACAGACCGGGCTTTTGATCTGTTTTGTACCTCTTTTCATGCAGTAAATAACTTTGATTTTGTATTTGCAGGAGACAAACATGATGTTCATGGGAGGGCTGATGATAGCGGCTGGCGTCCAGCATTCCAAGCTTCCGAAGCGAGTGGCGCTGTGGACTGTCCAGGTGGTGGGCTGCTCGCATAGGAGGTTCGTTTTCTTTAACCCTTTATAAGAAAAAAGATAGTGGGAATATATTGTAACTAGCCGCCCGCGAATTCGTACGCGTAGATCCCGTTTTACCCCCTTAGGGGTGGAGTTTCGTAAAATTCTTTCTTAGCGGATGCCTGCGTCCAAATTTCAGCCCGATCTGTCCAGTTGTTTGGGCTGTGCGTTGATAGATCACTATGTCAGTCAGTCACCTTTGAGTTATATGTATTTAGATATGTCGGCCGTTTGATGTAGTGGTTCGGAACGGACTACTATGCCGAGAGGTCCCGGGTTCGATTCCCGGCCGGGTAGAAATTGAAATGATGAATTTTAATTTCTGTAATGGGTAGTACCCATAGTACTTTGCTTAGTTTGGGACTAGAAGCGTAGTGTAAAATGTCCAAGGATATTTATTTTTTTATTTATTTCCCACCGCTGCAACTTCTAGTAGCCAGGATCTACAGCTTGACCGCCAATAAAAACACAACCAGTGGAGGTTAAATTATAACGCAGTGGGAATATAGTTCCCATCATATTTTGAACTTTATTCCCTTCTATTAAGGTCCTAAAATACTGAAATATTTGGACTTGTTATATAAAAAAGGGAACGGGGAAAATATTATAAACAACTTAGTATACCTTCACTGAGAAACACAAATTTCCTGCAAACCTAGATATTACGATAATACCTACCAGGAGTGTCACAGTCCTGACACTCCTGGCATGTGACGTCATGTGAAAGCTTTATGATTTTCAATGTGGTGCCCCTTACAAATCATGTATTTTCAAAACTAAATAAATCGACGTCGGACTATGGGTTTTTGCCACTGGATTTTGAACTTTACTGAAATGAAACAAGTTTAAGAAATATTTTTCTCTACACTCTCTAAAGAGTCCCAATTTTTCTCATTGCAAGCTAAACATCGGTATCATGTTCACGACGATGTTCGATGTGGGTTTTTGCCACTGAGTTTTGAACTTTACAGATATGAAAGAAGGTTGATTTAGCTTTCTCATTGCAGACTAAACTTCGGGCTGACCTTCGTGACGATGTTCATATCGATGTGGGTGTCCAACGCCGCCGCTACAACTATGATGGTGCCCATTGTTGAAGCCATCTTGGAAGTCTTAGAACAGGTAAGTCATATCAGTAGAATAGAACAGGTGTCCATTCTCACTCTTCGCGTAGATAAAACATCAGCTGGCGTATAGATGACCCACCTGAACTGTCCCACCAAACTCAATGACAGGGGGGCGCTACCATCGTTCAACTATATGGTTTCCAACATGGCAAAAATCGGAACCAGCGATCCGGTATTGACGGTGGCGCCCCACTGTCAATGTCATGGATAGGACAGTTCAGTATTTTGGAACTATAGTGTGAGTTTACGTCAAACGCATTCGATGTCGACTGCGTAAAAAAGTGACATTAAATGTATGACGGATTGTACAGCGCCCCTAGCGGAAACTATCAAGAACTAAAATCTTTATATATTTTTTAACGCAGTTGATATCGAATGCGTTTGATATAACCTCACACTACGCCCACAGGCCTCTCCAAGCTGTGAGGAGTGTAGGACAAATCCTCCATTTGCCTCTGATATATGGCTATCATATATGGGTCATACCAGGCCGGTTCATCTCCGCGAGTTTACATCGAAAACAAAACAAGCACGATGGCACCCTACAGGATACTATTCGACAAGGCCTCACATACGAGCGAGCATTGACTCACGCACGCGTATTCTTGTGTATGATGGAAAAAAATAAAGAAAATGGTGTACTAAATACTGTGCAGTATTTAACTGCCTAAATAATAATAAAAACACAGAATGTACTTTTTTAAGTTGCCTGAAGACACTGAGAGGTAAATAAGTGATTAATATTATTCATGATAATTCATGCTTATTCATGTATTTCCTCCGCCATTTTCTGCAGTTTGGCACCTCACGTCACACATAATTTTATCGAAGTCAGCCCTATGGCTTCGGCGCAGTACCGATCACTGACGTTTGTCAATAAAATGGTGCTTGACTCTTGAGACAAGCTAAATTACACCATATTGTTATGGACATTGAGCATACATTTTTTTAAATACCTTCTGTACGTAGTACTTATTATTATTCTGTGGTCATACTCCTAGATGACATGATGGCGATGATGAAAGTTAGTTTATGTATTATTTTTTCGTTATTCCAGCAAGGACTGGGTGACGTTTATATCAACAGGAAGAAGAACGCTCTCCCAGAGAACGGGAAAGACGTGAAACCTGCAAAGGACTCTGAAGAAGAGTGAGTATTTAGTCAATTGACGTAATTATAGACTAAGAGCTAGTGAACGCCAGACCTACGTCATTTTATAAAAGCTGAAAGTTTTCCAGCGTATGCTCCCAATATAGGATATAATGTTGGTGAATTATAAAGTTTGAGTGATGGTGGCTTTGGGAGCTACCCTAAAAAAACTGTCTGGCAAGGAGTTGGAACTGTCAAAACTGTCTGGCTGTGGGGAAAATACTTCTAATTATTGCCCAAATCTATATTATATGTATAAAGCTCGATTATTATACATAAAGTTTCATAAGTAGTTTTTTATATTGACATTTAAAATCCTAAATAAGACGCTACCTCACTAGCTTTATATTTGATAATATCGAGAATGTCTCCGTAGCTCAGTGAAGAGATGAGCAGTCACCCGACAAGCAAGAAGACTTGGTTTTAAGTCCCAATAAACCCAGTCATAAAACATAATAGACAATTTGACACCATTCCCTAATAATTCGAAATCACAACTTTTTTAAAAAGACACTTCATTTTGATCTTAAAAACTTAATCAATTTTAAATTATCTGTTAATTACGATTTTTGGTCGCGTTGTAATTGATAAAAAGTAGTTTAATTGAGTTGACCAAATAGTGACTTCACTTGCTTGTATTAGAGATGGGTTATACTAGGTAAATTTGATACTGGGGTGCGATGGTGAGGGACCTCCACGTGGTGCACCCCGGGCAACGTCCGCGTGTTCTGTCACGCGGGCGGCTGACTTCTCACCTGCGCGGCAGGTTGCGTCAACTCGGCAGGCCTGTCGGGCGACCCGTAACCCACAATGGAGTGGGCCGGGGGCTGTCGGGGTATCTGCCCGGGCCGCGATGCAGGGGACATCTCATAAACCCCCCCAATCCCAAGGTCAGCAGGGGCCAAGGGGATGCGTTGTCGTAGGGAGTACGGCAGTTACCCTGACTGAGAGAGGGTGTGGGCAGCTGCGCCCGTAAGTAGCTAAATTATGACATGGACACAAGTAAAACTAAAGTACCCCAGGGAGGTACCGGCAAGGCCGGAGAATCCTCTGCCGCTACGGCGGTCACGGCCCACGTATCTGGGGGGGCCGCACCGTGTTCTGTGTCTTCGCCGGCGAATGCGCCGAAATCTTGCAAGGTAGAATTGACCAGCTTTGACCGAGGGCTTCGCAATATGTTCGGAGCTAAACAAAAAATCGACCACGTCGCAAAAAAGGCAGCTGAGACTGCCGTGGGTACATCCCGCGGTGTGACTCCCGCCCCAATACGCGACTCCCAGACAGAGAGTAAATCGGACTTGACGACGGCAAAGGGAGTGGTTGAGACTGCCCCGGTTCTACCCGGGGATCTGACTCCCACAACCCGCAGCCGCTCCCGGATCAATAGTGAGGACTCCGTCACCCGGGCTGCCACCAAGCGGCGGATCGAGGAGTCGGAAGAATCACAATACTCAGACTTGGAAACAGATCACTCTGAAAAGGTTGATCGTTTTATTGAGAGATGCTTCGCAGCTGATACGGACGACTCGTGCATGTCGACCGAATCGGCTCCATCAATGAAACAGACATCAGGCCGAACATCGCGTGGCAGTAAAAAACCTCGCGGCCGAGGTAGACCCTCAACTAGCGGAGAGTACATAGGCTTAAGGCAGAAGTTTGCTGAAGAAAGATTGCTTGCTAAGGAGCAATTGGAAGACTCCGAAGAGTTAGCGTTACGGCTAAGTAACAAAATGAAGACGGCACGCCTTCGCGCACAGGATAACTCCAATGCACTCACCGCAGAGGAGCTGATGCAGACCATCCGCACCAGTGCCCAGGCGGTTTTCAATTGCGCGGGAAAGTGCACCAAAATCAGAGGTACTGAACAGGGTGCCTTCAAAGAAGCTGCCTTGACTATCGAGGCGGCAGTAATGGCACTCGCTAATCGGCCTCCTGATGAAGAAATTCATAGGCTGAACGTTGCCAACTCCCTCCTTAAAAAGGAGTTGGAGGAGCTTCGTCAGGAGGTCCGCAACCTTAAAGAGGAACGGAGCAAAGTTACTCCAGCTAAGATCACTGCTCCTCTCCCTACCAGTTCTACTCAGGCGGGAGATATCGAGAGAGATATAATGGTCCGGGTGGGAACCATGGTTGACGCCAAACTGAAAGGCATAGAAGACAGACTACTCCCAGAGAAGCGTCTTAGGCCGTCTTTGGCAGCAGATAAAGCGAGAGAACTGGACTCAGTCAATGACTCAACCGCTCTCCCAATAGGAAAACATGCCGGTCCAAATACTCGGGCAACGGCTAAAAGGGGCACCCCAGCACCCTTGGTAGAAACTGTACCAGCCACCCCCGCCAAAGCTGCATCAGCCGCAGCCCCTCAGGTGCACACCGGCCCGAAGGCGGCGCCTTCACAGCCACCACCCATGGTGACCCTGGTGTCAGCGCCGTCTTCTAAGAGCCGCGTACGAAAAACAAAAAAGGGCAAATCTCAACCTGCCCCCCGCACCTACCCGTCCAGAGCCACGCCCTTTTCCCCCAGCCCCCCAGTCTATGGATGCTGGGTGGACTGAGGTTGTAAAGCGTGGCAAGAGTAAGAAGAAGGGGAGTCAAGCCCCATCAAACAGCGTTAAACCGGCTAGCCAACAAAAGGCTGGGCCAGGTAGAGAAAAGGGCAAAGCCCGTAGGGTTCGTGTCCCAAGAACGGCTGCAATTTCAGTAGTGTTTACGCCGGAGGCCGCTCGCCAGGATCCACCTTGTGATTTCCAATGGTTCATGCACATTGCAAAACAACAGGTGGATCTCGCCCAACTGGGCATAACAGAAGGACTTCGTTTTAAGCCAGGTCAGACGGCAGCAAAGCTCCTCGTCCTTTCCGGTCCAGAAGCGGAGGAGAAAGCGGATAGGCTGGCCGCTGCCCTTCGTGCTGTCCCTGCTTTTCCAGCGGAAGTGGTTGCAATAAGGCGACCAATTAAAAGTGAAGATATCCGACTGTCCGGTTTGGATGAATCCATCGAACAGTTGGACATTGCGACGGCAATCTCCACCAAAACCGGGTGCCCACCAGAGCAAATAAAGGTGGGCAAAATAAGCAGAACCCGGGACACCCGCAGTGTCATCGCGCGGGTACCGTCGAAAACGGCGAAACAGCTGGCAGGTATCCGCCGGCTTCTTATTGGATGGGCCTCGGTACAAATTACACTGCTTAAACCGAGGCCTTTGAGGTGTGTGTCATGTTGGGGCGACGGGCATGTCGCCCACAAATGTGCTGCCAACGTCAGCGACCGCAGCGAACTCTGCTTCCGATGCGGTCAGTCTGGGCACCAGAGAAAGGAGTGTCCCGCCAAAGAACCCCGCTGCCTACTTTGTGCAGCGGTAGGAAAGGCAGCGGACCACATGCTGGGGACGAAAGATTGCCCTCAGCCACAGCAGATGCCTAAGCCGGCGCTATCCGAGCCCGGCCGAACAGCTAGCCTCATGGAGGTGGACTCGGGGGCGGCGTCCGCTTCCTAACACTGAGGCCCGAAGTGCGCGCGGAGTCCCCGCGCGCTTTGGAGAGAGGACCCCACTGAAGGTGTCTATAGAGAGAGGCTGCGGCTGTTGCGTGGGGGCAGACGCGCGAACGATTCTTCGACTCGTATACTGCCCCACTAAGCGCGACCAGAGGGACCCGACTGGTTTTTAGTGGGTAGGCCTTGCCCTTCAGGCGAGGAGAGCCCCACATAACTCATCGGCTCCCCCGGGCTGGTGAGTATGCAGTTTCATGCATTTTCCAGTCGAAAAAAAAAAAAAAAAAAAAAAAAGGTTGGTTATGTGCATGTTTCATGTTATAGGTAAATTAGTAAACATAACCAAATTGAAGATTATTAACCAAATTGTATAAGGTGTGAGCAAGGGGTTTTCTAAAATAACATGTAGCATTTTTACCAAAGGGTTCTAGTTTCGTGTGCTTACAAAGAGACCTTTATATGGATCTTGAACTATTTAGAGACTAAGTATATTATACTCGTACGAGTAATATCGAAGGCCTATGGTATTGTGCCTCTAAATTATTTGCTAACAAGCACACCTATTATTTAGGGTTTGCTATGGCTTTGTACGAAGCAAACAGACTAGTGTTGTATGCCGTCAATATTGAAGCTGTGTTCAGTCGATAAATTCAAGATAAATGCGTAAATCTTTAGTTTTTCAATATATTTTCATTAAAATTAACCCTTAGCCCTAATCGAATAAGAGGTTTCAGTGGTCATTAGATTGTAGAGTCAACAGCACATTCGACTATTTTTTGTTACAAAATAGGACTTATTACGACTGCATAGATGCGTTATTATCTTATGAGCAGACAACAGCACGTCAGACTATACATATTACTTTACATACTAATACAAGATATATTATTACCTGTTCACGCCGTCGAAGTCGCCGCCAATGCCGACATAGTCAGCGCCAATCATCCGCTTCACATAGTGGAAATGTTCTGAAAATAATAATTCAAATTATTATCACATTTGCAAAACCCTAGAAGAAGAATACTGAAGATTGAGCTCAGTAGCGTGTATTGCCTGTTTAGCATTACTTTTGTCGCATTGTTTTTTTGTGCGAAATATTCAGAAATTTTAGTTTGTTGGAAACAAATTACCATTGCGTCTTTATGTCACTTTAGAGTTGCTGATAATTCATCATGTACAAGTTGCAATGTTGGTATGGGTTTCATAAGGGCGAGTTAAAATTCGTAGAATATAAAGGATTCAGTTAGGTATAGGTATAACACTTAGGTACAACATTACATAATATTTTACTTTGTATTGTGCACAAAATCGAGTAGGTTGGTATTGTCTTTATTTATATAGAATAGTGTTTTGTTTTGTATTGTGCCCAAATAGCAGTCTTAAAATGGGTTTTCGAAGTATCTAAAATAATAGGCAATTATAAACTGCCTTTCGGGTTAACGCTTTGTTTTCATTGAATTTAATAATGTTCAGTCGGTTTATATCCACTTTAGTTAAGGTGCCCTTGCCATTTGAATGTAAATGAACCACTAAGTGTTTAGGTTTAAAAATATTTCAATAAAGAGTGCTATTCTTAGTAGGTACCTAGATTCCTCGTTTTTCTATGTAATAACTGAGGGCAGAAACAAGGTTTCTGTCTGCTGGTCATCATAACCAAATTCGGAACCGTTATACAAAGTGATTTCCATTTATTTGTACCACCTGTGTTCCGATCAAATGTCTATAGTGAACATTTGTGGTCCTCTTGGACATTCCATTAACAAGAGATGTAAGTATACGGGCGAAATACTGGGTGGATTTTTTTTCTATCTACATATTATTAATACTTCCCTTCAGGTGGCATAATAAAATTCCACCCTGTGTAGTGTAAAATAACTTTTTGGAGGCAAACTGCAACAAACTCGCCCGCTTGTTCATTTCAGAGCATTCACGCGGGTCGTGTTAAAAGTGCGCTAAATCGCAGTTAATAGAGATGGCCTGTTTGTTTTCCCTTTCCACGAAACCTAGCTGTGTTGTATTTTCGCTAAACTGTTAACAGTTTTATTTGTAAAACATTTTGTTGATTGGTCTATGATGAAAGTTATATACATTGGTCTGCTTAGCTGGTCTGTAATAGGTATTTCATAGAAAAAGAAAAATAGTAAATTAATCTTCCCGATAATATTTCTAAATAAGTAAGATAATGGATGTCCACGTGGAAAATTACAACAAAGCTTAGCTTAAATATCAACTAAGTACCAACCATTCATATTATTTAATTTCATTGCTAAGAAGAAGCAATAACAATCAAGTATAATTATTCTACGAATCAGCTCGTTGCAGCGTTTATTTACGGTGAAACCTGTTGTTTTTGTTTAAGCGTCAACACGCTACCGTGGCGCTGCTCAATATGTCCTCAGCAAAATTTTCGTTAAGAGCAAAATTCAATAAACCCAAACGAGGTGAATATAATACCTTGTACAGTCAGCACCAAGCGATTATATTCTTGTCTATCTTATGCGGTAATACTCGTAGGTACCAAATTGCTTTGAAATTGTAGTCTAATGTACTGTCGACTGTACGGAAACAGATATTAAAATGTCTCCCTACATAACTTAGTAATCAAGGATCTGTTTATTCACTTTACCAAACAAAAAGGCTGTTTTGTGTATTAATCCTAGCCTAAATTCCATATTTTTCAATTAACTGTAACTTTAGTTGCTTGAAAACCAAAAATAAAGACGAGTTATCAAGAATGTGGCATTATAAGTTTGTATTGCCATACAAAATGTATGTAACAATTGATTTATCATAGCTCTCTCAACTGATGACATACTATTGTTTTGGCAAATTGACGTGGGTTTCATGACGACCTGTGCACACCTTCATTATATTGTGTTTATCGTGATACACAGAGACCAATGGCAGGCAAATAATTTAATGGACATACCTGATGATAATCAAAATCATTCATACTCATACATAATCAATACAGACAAACCGTATTTAATTTATTACTGTATTTTACTTTAATTAAATCAAATAAATTGCTATTGAAATCAAGTTCTCTTTCGGTTAACCATTTAATTATCATAATTATCATTATCCATTTCCTAGAATTGTGACCAATATTTTAATTGTATGCTTGTAAAGTGAGAGAGATTTGAATAGTGTGGAATTCGCCAGCTAGCTGTGGTCAGTGATGGACGAAACCAATTTATTCCAGAAAATAAAAACTATTCCAAATGGTTTTACATTTATTCTGTAATCCAAAAACTCGACTAATGGCATTCACGTTTTATTATACCATATTAAGCATACAATGGAAAATATTTGCTTCGTATATTTTCGGATTCAGCGTGAAATTCCAGCAAGTTATAAGCGCAGTTCCAATTTGTCTTTTTATAATATCTTTTATAAAATATTGTTTGGTAGGATTTATAGCCCGTTAGTTACCCATAGTATCTTTTCATGTTACATTTTTGCTTTGTTAATATGTTTTTATGAGTCATGCTAAGCATATTATTAAGGCATGTATTTAAATGATCTTTTTAAATTAGCAAAAACGGCAAATAAAAAAATCTAAATGGTCATCTATTTTAATGATTGATCCTCTTTCTTTGAGACATAAAATAAATGAAATCGATCGATATTTTAACCTCTTTTGAACTACGCAAAAAAAATTTGAGATGTAAAAATTATATCTGATCGTTACTTGTTGGTCCTCAAAAATAAAAGAAATGAGCACCAAATATTTAATATTGTGATACTTTTTTAAATAATTCGATTTGTATAAATNAAATCGTGTTTCCATCCGTTAATAGCCCTAGAAAATATCCTCAACTATGCCCAATAAAAATCTTAGCCTTTAATTTTACTGTTTAGTACCTCAAAAATGAAAAATGAAAACCTCATTTTCGCCATTTTCTCTGCTACCCGGCCTTAAATAGTGTTCCATTTCTCCAAACCGTTTTTACCTACGCAAATCATGTCTTACTTCCGCGGTACTCCTGCCCACGTATTCAATCCGCACGTGAACTCCATGTCACGATGTCGCCACTAATTAAGGCGCACACGACACGGGAGCGCGTCATGAACCGACACGGGATCATGACATCATGACTGCTGCAGCAAATGAGAGCTATTAGTACACGCCACGCGGAACCAAGGAAGGGTTTGCCATCGTCTTGGGACGCAGCGAGAGACGCGCTTTAGCGGGAGCGTAGAGCGGGTACAGTAAACAAACTTGGCTAACTCGACTATATCAAGGCGCACACGACACGAGAGCGCGTCATGAGCCGACACGGGATCATGACATCATGACTGCTGCAGCAAATGAGAGCTATTAGTACACGCCACTCGGAACCCAGGAAGGGTTTGCCATCGTCTTGGGAAGCAGCGAGGGACGCGCTGTAGCGGGAGCGGAGAGCGGGCACAGTAAACAATCTTGGCTATATTAAGCATAGGCGCACACGACACGAGATTGCGTCATGAGCTGAAACGAAATCATGACATTATTATTGATACAGTAAATGAGAGCTATTAGAACCAGTAGGTGAAATACCAGATACAAACAAGATGTGATACCAGGCTCCTGATAAAAAACCAAGCTTCGGTGATCGAATGAGTGAAAGCAAAATAGTTTTATGGAAATTCATACTCTTCTTGACAAAACGCTCAGTAGTTACCTGGATATTGTTATTTTATAAAGATAATTTTAAGGTATAAATACCTAATGATAGAGGAAATAAGAATCCGCTACCTCTTATGTTCCACAGACGTTGCTAGCCGTAACATGGGAGATCTCGCAATTTGTTACATAGTCTCACCAGGTAACTGTTGTGAAAACACAATTATATTTACACCATAATCGGGGTATAGTCGTCTGTCTAAACGTAATTAAATACATTATTTTGATTATCTTGGTAACAACTAATTAAAGCTTGTAAAGCAGCAAATTAAATACAAATAAAATATTTGCGACATGAAAATATTCCTCTTCTATAATAACTTCTTCTTTTTCTTCTTTTCTTTTTCAGCCAAATGACGTCCACTGCTGGACAAAGGCCTCCCCCAAGGTTTTCCACAACGAACGGTCCTGCGCTGCCCGCATCCAGGCTCTTCCCGCGACCTTTACCAGATCGTCGGTCCACCTAGTAGGAGGCCTGCCCACGCTACGTCTTCCAGCCCGTGGTCGCCACTCGAGAACTTTCCTGCCCCAACGGCCATAGTCTCTGCGAGCTATGTGCCCCGCCCACTGCCACTTGATTTTAGCAATTCTGCGAGCTATGTCGGTTACTTTGGTTCTCCTGCGGATCTCCTCATTTCTGATTCGATCACGCAGGGAAACTCCGAGCATAGCCCGCTCCATCGCCCTTTGGGTGACCTTGAGCCTTCTTATGAGGCCCATAGTAAGCGACCACGTCTCATCAGGTCCTTACGACCCGATGTCGCACTAAAAGTAAACAAATATCGTTTAGTGCTTTTATCGTGTCTAATCAACCCGTTGACAGATGACTTTATGGTCACTGATCACGGTCGAGATCGGTATACTAAGAGAAAATCAATCTTGCGATTTGAAAACAAAATAAAGAGGTAAAAATTATGATGTCGGGTTCAGGGATGTCAGAAGTAAGAAATTATTTTACATAGCGCCTCTAGTCCCAAACTAAGCAAAGCTAGCAATTTAAACAAACATGGCAATGTACCATTCTGCTTGCTTATTGGCCGCTAAGCCCTTGGCCAACTCAGTGACCAATGACGGACGATTGTCACTCAACCACAAAGTACCGAGTAAATTAAATATTAACCAATAATATTTTTAGTTAGATCAAATATATTTTAAAGTTAAGTTATACATAGATCGAAATGTATTTATTAGGTGATCAATATTAAAAGGCAAACTTGATATAAAAATCATCAAATTAACAAAATTAAAGATCAATAACTAAAAAAGAGGATCAAATATTATTTTTGTTTACCAAATATT